ATGTTTTTGATCTTTCATTTAAAACAGGTATTGTTCCTGACAAACTAAAAATTGCCCGTATAACACTTATTTTTAAATCTGATGATAAGTCAAATAACTTAAACTACAGGCCTATATCCATACTACCTTGCTTTTCAAAATTGCTAGAGAGAATAATATATAATAGGTTATATAATTATCTAACTGAGAACAACATGTTGTATTGCAAGCATTTTGGTTTAAAAAAAAAAATTCCACTGAACATGCAATAGTTGAACTTTTCAATCAAATATCTAATGCCTTTGATAATGACTGTTATACATTAGGACTTTTCATTGATCTGTCAAAAGCATTTGATACCGTAAATCACAATATTCTAATAAAAAAACTTGAAACCTACGGAGTGAAAATAAAAACTTACTTTGGTTCAAAGGGTATCTGACAAACCGAAAGCAATTTTTATAATATAATCAAAATAACACAACTCCATATTCCTTAACTTGCGGGTTTCCTCAGGAAAACCCGCAACTTAAGGAATATGGAAACAACCGTTTCCTTGCTCTTGCAACAAATCTTTTAGACCTAATTTTGTTTGCTGATGATTCCAATCTTTTTTATTCTCACAGAGATATTAAAATACTTTTTAAAATAGTTAATGAACAGTTATGTAAAGTTAATGAATGGTTTGTAAGGAACAAACTTTCATTAAATGTGGATAAAACACAATATATACTTTTCCATAAAGTAAATTAATCAGAAAACATTTTGTTTATGTTTAAAACAAAAATGGGATTGTCCCCAATAATTTTTCAAACCTATTTTAATAAAATTAATCATAAATATTCAACAAAGTTTTCTGATAACAACTTTGTTCTTCTCAAGTTTAATTTAAAATTAATCTCCTATTCAATTAAATATCGGGGACCTTATCTGTGGAAAAAATTCCCAGATATTGGCAACAAAAAAATGACTGCATTAGAGCAATTTAAAAATGAATCAAAACAGTTATTACTATTCAGGGATCTTAATTTATCTGACTTCAAATGTTTATTTTTAAGTTTAATCAAATAAAAACAAATTTATTTATATCAATGAAATTTAAGTAATGATGTTAAAAATTCATTTTGTGATAATGTTAATTATAAAATTTTATTTTTTTATTTAAAACTTTTTGTTTAAATAATTTTTAAATATTTTAATGGTTGTTAGCATTTCAACAATTCTTAATTATTTGCTATTTTGAACTTCTTAATTTTCTCAGTTATTTTCTGTTTTTAATTCTGATCTATATTTTATATATTTGTATGTTACGGTTATATAGAGTTTTTTTATGTAGAGTTTTTTTTATATGTGGGGCTCGGCGATAAGGCAAACTGTGGCTCCTTCTTGCTCCTGCCATTAATTTTGATATATGTATATGCAATGTAAACATTCTTTAATAGCGAAATAAATTACACCATTTTTCTTTCGTTGTCCTGACAATGTAAATTGCCCACAAATGTAGCAAAAGGCGTGGTGAATTTTGTTGAAATAATTACCCTGAAAATAAAGAAACATTAGTATATTTCACACTGAAACTATATATTAGAAAAAACATATACATTATCTCAAGATTCAGACGTGCTGGAGAAAAACTAAACACAGATTTGGAATCAGCGTGAAAAACTACATCTAGTAAGCCTAAAATTAAAACTGGTGCAAATTCATTGTTGACCAGTGGTATAGAAAAATTGTTTCACAGGAATTTGGGAATTGTTATAATTAATAATGTAATAACTGTAGTATTTTTTAACCAACAACTACATTAGATAATTATAAAATCATGAAAAGAATTCTTTAGAATTAGGATAATTTTAGACTGGTTATTTGTTTTTATAATTTTTGAAAAGAAACTTATTTTCATGTCTGCATTGGCAATTAAAATGGCAATTACAGCCTTTCCTCAATTTAAAACAAGTATTTATTTGTGTTTTCTTGAAGAAATGCTACATAGGAATTTTGTTTAGAAATTATATATATAATATTTTTATTCTTTTGCGTATCATTTGTTTTGATTTTTGCACTAGATTTCTGATGGTTTTTTTTTTTTTTTCATTTCAGTGCCATTTCCAAATTTTCCATACTTAAGGACAAGATTTTGTCAAAAAATCATCAGTTTTTGCAGCATAAAAAAGGCAATAACTTTGGATCTACTTAACTTCTAAAGTTAAAAGACTCCTCATTTTTTAAGCTTTTTTAAGCTCTATTCAACTATGTTAAACATATATAAATAAATTAACAAAAAAAAATTGTCTGGAATGGTTATTTATAGTATTCAAAGTTAAAGTGATATTATCTTGAATATTTTTAATGCAACAGGTCAAAATTTTTTGTCCTTTCTTAAGAAGGCTTAGTTTTATTAGTTGAAGTTATACTTAAATCAAAATCTTTTTCCACCTTTTTTATGTCGATGACACTTAATACATCATTTTATCTCCTTAATACATCATTTTATCTCCTTAATACATCATTTTATCTCGTCGACATTAAATTAAAAAAAAAAAAACATTTTTTAAAAATGCTTTAGAATCATTTTTTCCAACAAAAAACGTCGTTCAAATTTTTTTCCAATACTAATATAAACTTATATTACAGTCATAAGTCTTATAGAAATACATTACACTTCATAGAGCAGCAAAATGGCGTTCTTTCGGATGATTCAAAGAATCATCCGAAAATCTTGGCAGAAAAACCTGTGGCAGCAGGCTATCTTATAGCCTGCTGCCACAGGTTTGGAGTTTGGTATTTTTTCTTTCTTTCATTATTACTATTTTTTTCTGTAAAAGCCGTATGCTATAAAGATAGGTAAAACGAGTAAGCAATTGCTGAAATTAGCTATTTGCGACACTATTCCTATTTTTGTTTTTGACACTATTTAAATTAATTTGCGATATTATTCCTTTTCTTTTTTGCGACGTGAGGTCTTTTTAATATATTGGACACTACTCTGAAGTTCATTTTTCGACTCTATTTCTGTTACCCTAGATCTGGCATACTTTTAATACAGTTTATTGCTGTTGTCTGTTTTTTTCGTTGTGGTTCTAATGATAGACTTTTTTTCAATCAAATCCCTTTCGCTTGTTGAAACCTCGATAAAGATTTCTTTCTTGAGAATGTCCCACAAATTCTTAATTAGATTTAGGTTAGGAGAGTTCCCTGGCCAGTCTAAAACGGGAATATTTTTGTTTTAAGAAAGTGATGTTTTCAGCTATACGGGATGGCGCACTATCATGCATAAACGTAAATGTATTGTCATTTGGAAACCATTCTTGTATTTGGGGGATAAGTTGTCTCTCCAGCATCTTGATACTGTATTTGGTTTATCATCCCATTGACAATATATAGTCTTCCTGTGCCTCTACCGTTGATAAGTGACCACACAAAAACTTTAGTTGAATGATTAAGAGTTTGTACAATTCAATCTGGGTGATATTTATTTGGTCTTCTTCGGACAAAGGTGGCTTCGTCTATTAAGATATCAAAAGTTGATTCACTTTGTTTTTCACAAAAGTTGAAAATACTTTTTCAAAACTATTTCATTCAAAATTGCTAAACTTACACGTTCCTAATCTCCAACAGTTATATGCTTATGATTTTTTGCCCATTGCAATCTCTTTCTTTATCCTTGCTGGAGTTAGCCTTGATTTTTTAGCCGGTTTGTGTGAGTTAAAATCAACTATAGCCAGACGTCTCCTTACTATGCGCTCCAAAAATTGTATTCAAGAATCTTGAGAAATTTTTGTCAGGAAGAGGAATGACATTTTCTATTTTCCAGACAAATATTTATTATAATTCTGTCTGTCCCGGGAGTGGTTTTACGTTTTGACCCACGTCTTTTTCTTTTTGGAGAAAGAGTGATGTCGTTTTTCATTTTGTGTTTGATTTTAATGACAAAAGATTACGAAATTTTACACATTTTAGCAACTTCCCGTTGTGAATCCTCTGAATGCTGTAAAAGTGTTTTTATTTCTAAAATTTTGCTTGGACTTATGTTTTTACACTTACCCATATTTATTTTTTATCAAAAAGTTCAATAACCTATTACACAAAAAATATTAATAAAACGGTACTATATATTAATTCCCGCTATTTATTGTAACTTTATAAAATGTATTAAAAACAACAAACCACTTTTAGCTCGAAAAAAACTCTTAAAGTTTAAAAAAAATGTATGCAACAAACCAACCACGTTTTTTTTTTTTAATTTTACGAAAATTCACTTTGCTGACTTGAAACAACACTTAACTTCACATTGGTCATGATTATAAAGAAATTTTCTTTTCTATTTTATTCGATGTTAGTATTGTATAACGAGTTAGTATCAATAATGCCATCAATTAATCACCTTAAAATTACTTTACAATAACTTTAAATTATAAAAAATTGCGATAAACACAAGTGTTTATCGCAAAGAGCATAGGAGCTTAGAATCTTAAACAATTCGGTTAAGTTTTGGACCACTATAAACTACATCATGATTTATTTAATAGGATGTTCATGCCTCCTTCTTAACCGATGTTTTTTGCGACATTGGTTAAGAAGGAGGCGTGATCTTTCTATTAAATGCTCATCCGCGGTGCTCTGTGATAAAACCGTTAGGACTTTCTAGGGCACCTAAATTAATATATATACAAATATAAAAAAAAAACAACAACCAGAAAAACACGACTAACGTAGTAGTCGTGTTTTTCGTATGTCAAAATCCGGTTATTTATATGAGGGCGCAGGACCAATTTTAATTAAAAAAAAGCTTTTCACTACACTCACCTTCATAAATAACCTAATTTTGACAACCCTTTTATCTAGATTAAGTCAGCCTCGATACCTAGCCCGTTTAATCAAAATTTAATAGTTACCGAAAAAGTTACAGAATTACTTTTTTTCATTAACAAAAATATCAATTTTGCTATACATTAAACAGCAAGAAAAAAAAATAAATAAATACAAATTCATGATATCAAAAACAAGATTAAAAAAAAAAGTCGAGGTTTAATATATAATATTCATTAATAACAGGTTTAATTACTTCTAAATCAAAACTCTAAATTTAAATGCGAGTTAAGCATTTAGAGAAATAAATATTTCTTTTGTAAAAATAAATAGGTCCAGGTTTATTTTGGAGCATTATCTCCGTTAAGTGTTAAAACCATTATCTAAAACGTATATACATAACAACGGCAATATAAAAACATAAAGCAGTCTACGCAGGTGAGTTTAATTGAAATAAATTTCTAGTTGAAAATCTTCCGATTTTTGCAAACAGAATAAGCTTCAACAAAGCGTCATTCTAGCACATCCTAAAACTCGCAATTTTATCATAACACAACGTGCATGTATCTTAATTGCTCAGAGCACAGTATTAAATTGATTACTATAGCGATGGCCAGGTCCATCAATTAATGGTGTCTCAACAAATGCCAAATCTGCATCATCTTCTTCATTTTCAGTTAAACTAAATTAAATGTTTTATGTTAACATGACTAGCAAATGTTTATTGAGGTATGCTATATATATATATATATATATATATATATATATATATATATATATATATATATATATATATATATATATATATATATATATATATATATATATTATTATATAAATATATTATATAATAAACATATATATTTCACACACAAAATGTATATTTATATATTTTTTTTAATTTAATAATTTTAAATAATAAATTTAATTTTGAGTATAATTACCTTGTACACCCCTAATTTCGGAAATAAATAAAAATGAAGACATAAGCACTTAAAAAAATTCATAACACATAAGTACTCGGTAAACAGAACTGGACCGAGTTTAGTTTACACGCTGGAGAAACTAAAGATGAAACTATTTATTGTCATAATGTTTAGGCAAGTATAAAGAGAAGAGTGGAAACATGAATAACAAAAATACGTCTCTTGCATCACAATTAGAGACATTTTTATCCAAATATACGCGTGGTAATCATCATCCTTTTTTAAAAAATCTTATAGATTTTTTTTGAAGAAAAAAACTAAATCGTTTTTAAGTTAATAACTAAAAAGTTGTATAACGTGTATTGAACCTGTTTTACACGTTCCTTACAACTTAATGGGTGTCAAACCTGACACCTTTTTTGTTCCGTCATATAGAACTTTTTGACTAGCGATACGCGTCAAAAAGCCAATATATTTCAGCCTAATATATTCATCACAATTAGAATCACTTTTCATCACAAATAAAAAATTTGTTTCACAAAAAGATACTTTTATTAAAATTTTTTACTAGAGGTACTATACTTATCTGACAACAAGGTGAGAATAGTACACTATAAATAATATAAATAGATATATAAAATAGTTTCAACTTATAACCTTATAAAAAAAAAAAAAAAAAAAACTACCTTTGTTCTTTGTGTGGTAACTCATCAGCAATTAAATAATCACTGTCGTCTTGTACATCTTTAGTATCAATATAGTCGTTATCCTATATAAAAAATATATGCATATAAAAAAATTAAAATATATAAAAATATTAACTGCTTATGTTGCTTATATACCATACACTTTTTTACGAATATTTTAAAATAAGAAAATAAGTTTTTACCCCTGATACATTTTGTTTTAAAATATTAGACAAACGTTCTCCAATCTGTGAAAACAATGGCCTATCATATGGGCTTTTCCGCCAGCAATCTAGCATAATTTCATAAACAGATTCTGGGCAATACTCCGGACTTGCCATTCTATGTCCATCTTCTAAAAATGAAAACAACTCTTCCAAAGGTAAACCAGGATATGGGGCAGCACCAAGTGAAAAAATTTCCCATAAAAGAACTCCATATGACCATCTAAAAAATTAAACAAAATAAACTAAAACTTTATAAAATCTTAAATGCAACCAAAAGTCACACACTGACTCACATTTATACAGTTATTTCGGATATGCTTGAGCGCATTTATTGAAAAGCACATGAACATTTGAAGATATCAAATATTAGTATATAATAGTTTATATGTAAAGTATATGCTAATGTAGCTTTGTTGACGATATTCTTTGAGCATTTTTTTACTTTTTTTCTCTAATCTTAGAAAAATCAAAATTTTCCCATTGAAAAAAATCCACTTTTGTTTTAACTTACTATTTTTTCAAATGTTCATTTTTATAAGAAAACCTTTTTGATTTCATTTTTATAAGAGAATCTTGTTGATTTCATTTTTATAAGAGAATCTTGTCGACTAGAGGTTTTGCTTTGTGCATATCCTTTTTAATTATTTATGCTTTATGTACACAAAAAACTGGTATATAGTACTTAATAATATAAGTATTTTGTAATAACAATATTTGCAAAAAATAAATGTTAATTTAATTTATTTTCAAAAAATAATTACAATGGATACTGCAAAATAGTTAATAATAGCAATTAAAAATATTCAATAAAATGTATTTAATATGACCCCATTAGATTTATAACATAATCAAGTAAATGCCAAAAGACTCAACAGATATCAGGCATAATTTGCTTGAAGATAATCAAACAAGTTTTCTGCAACTTATCCTTGAGGATTACAGAACTTAAGGCTTATGAGTGGTTGGCATTTTTTTGTCAATCCTAGCCAATATGGTTTTAACTAGGTTATGGTCAGGTAAAACTATTCACTCTGGTATGAAATTATACAACATGCTATAGTTTTTCAGGCATAGCTTGTGTTATAGAGAAAAAAGCTTGCAGATGGTAAAATTGCAGTTATGTGTATCATAGAAAATGAATTGGTACATGTTGCAACATTCAGTATCTTAACAAGAAATATTTTCCTATATTCCAGATCTAGGGAAGTATCTCACATAATGTAAATGTAGTAAACATATTTTTCAAAAAAAAATCAAATAATATGAAAATAGTACTTCTATAGTGTTTTTGAGATATTTTCTATATAAATATAATTTAAATGTTTTGCCGTTTCATAAAGAAGATTTTATTTTTTTTCTCACTCATTTCTTTAATTTTCTAACTATTTTACATATTTGTCTTTATTTTTCATTTGCGCCCTGTTAATCGTTTTTTATTCATTTACCCTGGTTACTTTTTATAAGAAACCAACTAATTTCTACTTTGCTTTCACTGATTCCCTTTTTTTACCCCTTTTGAAATCTTTTTTCCCCATTTGATTTATGAAACTTACCAATTCTATTTACAATAATAAATAATAAATTCTAATTACAATCTGAAATTTCTGCTAAAATAGATAAAATGCTATTTTTATCTATTTAGTAGAAAGTTCAGAAATTGCTATTTCTCATCAAAAACATATTTAATATGAGCTGTAGGGATAAAATATTAAATTTGAAATACTCACAAACAATTTATTTGCATAAAACTAACTACACTAACTTGACAACTTGATAACTTTTGTGTGTACATGAACTGCATTTAAAGATTGGTTTGACTCTATGATACATAGTACAACCCGGTAACTTTCTGAGAATCTTTACTAATATGTAAAATATTATTAAAAAAAAAAGTGTACTTCTAAAACTTGTATTTTCCCAGGAATTTTTATTTTTTATTTATTTACCATTCTTAGTTTACATAATATTTGTATATTTGTATGGATTAAAATTAAATGTGAATAAATTGGAAGTTGCCAGTTTTGTTATGAAAATAATAGGCCAAACATATATGATTTTCCATGCATGGTATTTTGATAATGCCCAGATTTTTAGTTTCAATATAAATCAACCATAATTTGAAGAAGTTAATAAAAATTATGTTTTTTTTAAAGCCAACTTATTTAAACAACCACTATTAGAAGTGACTTAAAAGTAAAAAAGAGAGTTAAGAATAGATCAGTTGATAGATTATTTAAAAATAAATTGTATAAGTCATGAAAAAATGAAAACAGGAAAGAATTCCAAAGCATTCATGTTTAAAAAAACTAGACAAATGTTTTTTGAGAATAAAAGGAACAGTTACAATAAACTAATTGATAAGTTATGCAGGCTTGTGTTTTGGTGAAACAAATGTTTAGTTCATCATTACTTCATTATAACTTAGCTACTTTTAAATTTTATGTTTGTAATTTTTAGTTAAGTCACAATATAAATAACTAAAGGATTTTCTATTTACCAGGGGAAAAAATTACAAAACCATATTTTCCTGTTTTTTTTTTGTTGCAAAAATTGTTCAACTAAAAAAATCCATTTAGACACTCAAAAGTAACTGTATATTAATTTAATTATATCTGCAGTTATGATCACATAATCCAACCACCCACAATATTTATAGCAAAATGTTTGTGTATTGTACGCATTTATACAAAGTATAACATGAAATTTGAATAAATTTCATGTTATATTTTTAACATATATGCATATATAAACATCATTATGATCAACATGATCATTATAGTCACTATTACCACCATGATCATGATGATCATGATGAATATCATCATGATCATCATCATGATCATCAAATTTCATGTTATATTTTGTATAAACATCATTATGATCAACATGATCATCATAGTCACCATTACCATCATCATGATCATGATCATCATCCTTGTCATCATGATCATTATTATTGTCATCATGATCATTATTATTGTCATCATGATCATTATTATTGTCATCATGATCATGATGACTACAATCATCATCATCATGATCATTATCACCAGGCTTTAGCCTTCCTCTTTTATGCTGCTTCTCTAAGTATGGTCATTGCTCAAACAAGCTATCATCTTTATTACAATAAACCAAAACTCATTCTTGCTTAGCTTCTGATTCAACAAGTTGCATCTTTTTACTGTATCTGTCCCTTCATGCTATAAAAACTTTTATTAATCCAGTTTTTTTCCTTACACATACAAAAAACCTTATAACTCTTGCCCATTTTTATGTTTTTTTTTTTTATACAATCTACAACCTTTTAAGTCTTCAGTTAATTGTTTCCAAGCTTTTTAACCTATCCTCTATTTTTAAGTATATCATGACTTAATCAGAGCAAACAACAACGGGGTAGGAGGGGTGGCATGTACTCCCCCCCTTACTTTTTTTTTCTTCTCAGAAAATTCTAAATATAGAAGACTAGAAGACTTCTTTGAAAAATTGCTGATTGTGCACCCCACCCACCCCCACCCCTACTTCGAAACCTGTGTCGTCGGCCCTGTTGCAACTTTGTTAGAAGTAAATTAGAGTTTAAAAATATATAAATATATGCCAGTATTTAATAAATAGTGAATGTAAGTATGAAATTATAATATAAAAAATATTATAAATTTATTTATAGCTCTGGCTATCAACCAGGGCTAGAAAAAAATCACTAAAAATCCAATTCATTTTTGTTTGAAAAACAATGCATAGAAACATTTAGTTTTGAATTTATTTAAAGATGCCATTTTTGTGTAATTAATTGAAATTACCTGGTTTAAAGCCTTAAAATAGCAGTTAATTGCTTTTTGAATAAAAACAAAACATAGTAAAAATTTTTAATAATTTAACAATACTAAATATTTTTCTGTAATTTAAATTCAAAAAATTTGAACTTTTATTGTTCAAAGGTTTGAGTTAATAAAAATGAAAAAATAATAAACAATTTTTTTTTTTTTTGTGGAAAACACAGTACTGTTTAAACGAAAAGTGGCTTGAATTTTGATTATTAAATGTTAAGTTTTATCAATAACAAATCATAATATTCCAAAAGTTAGTTTTAATTGTCAGGTTGGTATTTTTTAAATTAATTAATGATTTTTTTTGGAGCTAATTTCAAGTGCTCATATTACCAAGTGGTCTGGGTAATACGAGCATTTTTGCTACTTTTTTAAAACCTCTGTGTTTTTAAGAAAATATTTCAGGTGCCCAAATATCTAAGTGGATCATAAGTAGGGATCACTCAAAAATAATTATTCCCATTATTGCTAAAGGTGCTCATATTAACCTAATCTACCCAACCAAATATATATAATATAATATATAGTTATATACTATATATAAATAATAATAATAGTAAAGTATAACCTTTAACTTATAACAACAATAATACTAATAAAGTTGCATGCTGCAGATATTTTTCAAAAATGTTGTTCTTTGAACCACCATAATATATATATATATATATATATATATATATATATATATATATATATATATATATATATATATATATATATATATATATATATGTACATACACATTATACTAACCAGCAGTTTTTAATTGCACACTTTGACAGCTTTATCAAATATCAATAAAAGTTTTCGAAAATGTGTCACTTATGTATTGTATCATTTTGCAATGACAGCTTCTTCCGACAAAAAATTCTTTAAACATTTTGTACACCTGTATCATCTCTCCTCTGGATCTTCTCTGCTCCAGGGTTGTTAAATTAAGTTTGGCAAGAAGATCTTGCTAAGTTGATGACGATTTTGGTAAGTTAAATAAAGTTTGGTAAGACGATATGCTAAGTTTTTTAGATTGAGAATTATTTTAGTTGCTTGTCTTTCACTTTTTTCTAAAAAGTTGTTTTATATTTAAAGAACATACTGTGGCAGCAAATTTAATATGCAATTGTACAAATACTTTGTAATAATAACTTTATTAAATTAACGTTGTGATGCGCAAATTTTTTTTGATTTGTCATAAAATTGAATTGCTTTAAAAGTAGATAATATAATCTGTTGTTTCCACTTAAAATCCTTTGAAAATTTTACTTATAAGTCTGTCACTAAAATAGTTTTTTTAACTTCTCTGACATCTATTAGATAAGTTTTTTTAACATCTCTGACATCTATTAGATAAGTTTTTTTAACATCTCTGACATCTATTAGATAAGTTTTTTTAACATCTCTGACATCTATTAGATAAGTTTTTTTAACTTCTCTGACATCTATTAGATAGGTATAACTTATTTTTTTCTCCATAATACATATTAAACATTTGTCAAAATTAAAAGAAATTAACCATTTTTTTTGACCAATTGATAGCTTTATCCAAGTCAGTTTGAACCGTTTCTACTTTTTCTTTATTTTTGACCGTTAATAAAATCTTTGTATCATCAACATAAAGTTTTGATACATTTTGAAGGCAATCAGGCATAATCAATAATAAATATCAAAAATAACAATGATCCATGCAGCGATCCCTGAGGAACACCACTTGAACCATTTTTCCATGTAGAGGTAAAATCACCTTGTTTGACTCATTGACACCTGTTACTTATAAAACCTTTTATCTGCTTACACCAAATGCATTCAGTTTTAAAACTAAATACCTATGAGGTACCATGTCAAATACCTTAGCAAAATCAAGATACTGTTTCAAAAAACAACATTTTTGAAAAATATTCAAAGCATGCACCTTAATGTTTTCTAGATCATAAAATAACACTAGAATCAAAATTTTATATATATATGTATATATATATATATATATATATATATATATATATATATATATATATATATATATATATATATATAAACACACACAAACACACACACACACACATATATATACATAATTTTAATTAATTTTTTGTTATTTATAAGTTTGACTACCAAACTTGATCAACAAGAACTTTCTTTTCTAGTCAAAATATAAAATCAACTAAAAGTAAGGCCAGCCATTATAAATACTCTAACATATAAATGTATAATATTTACACATCACTGCTGCTAGTATAAATTTTATCAAACAAAGATTCAGGTGCCATCCATTTGACTGGAACTAAACCTTGAGTGTCTTTCATGTAAACATCATTTTTGAAAATATCACGTGCCAAACCAAAATCAGCAATTTTCATTATATAATCAACACCAATAAGTACATTTCTAGCTGCTAAATCACGATGGACACACTAAAAAAAAAAAAAAAAAAGAATAATAATAACTTTATAAATAAAACAAAAATAAATCTCCATTTGTTCCAATTTTTTTTATATCTAAATATTCAAGTTGTAAGACCAATCAAAATTTAACTATTTGATAAAGAAAAAAAGTTTAAAAAAAAACTCCAAATAATTTCATTAATAGAAAAAATTACTGTTACTTTAACCCTATTGTAAACATGCATTGACAATGCATAAAGTTGGATCATTAAATAAAGGATTAAATTTAGGTGAAAATTTTCAACTCTAAATTGTTAAAAGAACTTTATTTAATTAACAATACTAAACTTAATAGTAGTGTTAGTAGTAGTGTGCTTTCGAGCCTGTTTGACAGCCATTGCAGCCAAGGTAGTAGCTAAAAAGAGTTGCAGCACTTTGTTTTATAAGAAAACGTGAACGAACGCAAATCCAAATATCTAACAAACATAAATTAAGTAATGTTAAATTAAATGTTAAAACATACTGAAACATTTATCAAGTTTTACAGTTTGACTTTCACTTGAAAACTGCATCGTGTCAAGCTTTCTTTAATTTTCTTCTATAAAAGTTTTTCCCTTAAAAAAATCGTTACATTGTTTTAAAAATATTCGCTTGAGTATGTGCCAGTTTGGTCGAGTGGATAAGGCGCTGAGCTTCTGAACAAAGAGAAGATTTAAAAAAAGCTAAAATTTTACAAAACATTAAAAAAACTCATCACCGGAAGAAAAAATTTGTTGCGTATGTATGACGATTGAGACACTTATGTTATCAATGTGCTCAGGTAATTAGTCCTAATAAGCTGCGGATGATCTGAAAAAAAAGTTGTCTGAAACTTAATGAAGAAAAAACTTGACAAGACAGCCCTGCTATTCCAGAAGATGCTGCTGTGGAGGCAAAAAAAAAAAAAAACGCTTTTAGATAGATAAAACTTTAAAATTTTTTTTTGACAATTAAAAGTTTATTTTGCTACATTTACTTTTTTACTATAAATATATGCTGCAACTGTTTTTTAAAAAGCCTTAATACGTTTATTAAGTATTTCAAGAAAAATGCAATTAAAAAAAAATTATTTGAAGAAACTCTTTGTAAACCCTTTTTTAAAATGATATGTATAAGCTTATTACGTATTTCAAGAAAACACAATTTAAAATAAATTTGTTAGAAGAAACTCTTTGTAAAACGTTTTTTGAAACAAAAAATTTTTATTTAGTTTTTTTTTCTTTTGTGCAACTTTCTTTGCAATAAATTCCTTTAACTTTCAGAATATGACCATTTTTAACAATGCTATAGAAAAAATATCAGCAAATTGATTTGTAGTATTTCAATTATATTAATTAGATTAAATTACATATATTAAATTACAAAGATAAATAAATTGATATACAGTTAATACATGTGTATTTTTTTTTTCGAAAAAACCTAGTAACATAAAATAGACTAATTAGATAAGTTGTTAAGTAGAATGCTAAGAATATATTTATGGCGGTTATTGTTGTTAAGGGTGATTAATAGGCAAGTAAATTATAAGCTAATCAGGGTTTTGAATAAATTATTAACTAATCAGGATAATTTTATTTGTAAAGCTAATAAATAGGAAGATAACATATAATTCAGGTAGATATTGTTTTCAGTTTTTCGCCAAACTTTGATATCTTTGATATTAAAAATGACCTTTCCAATAATTATAGATGGTAGTGTATTAACCTTTTTTTTCGGAACCACAATCTATAATGATTTGTATTTTATCTATGTGAATGAAAGTCTATGCAAATATCTAAATATGTTAACTTTAAGTCCTTTAATTAGTAATCAGTATTATTATAAAGTAGATAACATCAAATTTTACCGATTTATTTTTACTTAAAAATTTCATTGCGGCAATATCTCCTTATTTTAAAGCATTTATATTCCGTTTTATAAAGTTTAATAAGTCTTCTGTTTATTAAAAAGTATTAAAAGATGATATAGCATGCCAAAGTGGTTATAGTGCTTTGTTTGGGTTCAAATCCTTTTGCTTACACAATTTTTTTTTTAATGTCTAGAAAACAAAGAAAAACATATTTAAAGGCCTATAGATATTATATGCATTGCATATATCATAATAGAGATACTTATGTTTACAGAAAACCTAAAAATGCTAAAATTACATCATAATTTTAGTTTCGCCTAATCTGGTAAAAAAAAAGCTCAATTATAAGATATAAGTATTAAATGATTTTTGTATTACGAAATATACTCCAACTCTTAAACGACTGTAAAACTACCTTGTGGTTATCTAATTAAATCCACCAAATCCGTTAATAAAAAAAGCTTAATTATTGGATTTAAAATCATCTGATTTTTGTATTATGATATGTGCCCCAACTGTACTCTAAAACCAATAAAACTCAGCCATATAGTCTCTTTCTCTTCATATTGATTATAACATAAAGCAACGAGGGACAACAAGTAAGTTTCATCTACAAGTTTAATTACTGTAATCTTTATTTTGAAAATTAATCTTAATTTAGAATTAACATGTTAATATGTTTGAAGTTAATATGTTTTTGACCCAAGAATAAATATTAATATTATATTTCAGAAATGAGCAGCCAAAATACAGAAGATTAAAGTATTCTTTTTATTTTATATAACATTAATTAATTAAAGAGATAAAAAGAGATGATACGTCAATAATACTGAATTAAGAGATTACATTGAGATAATTTTGTATATCTTTATGCGATGAAGAAGTTTTATAATTTTTTTGAAGTAAGCCACTTATTGTACTATATATAGTAACAGTTGAATATGTTCTAAAATTAGCGAAGGTGTACTTGATTCATGTGTGAATAAAACAATAATTTATTTTAGCCATTTTTTAATTGAAATCAACCAAGATATGCCTTTCCCTAACCCCGTGAATCAAGCACACTTCCAGCCTAAAATTTAACTAAAATTAAAAATATATAAAATAGTTTTTAGGACTTTAAAAGGATGGACCCGAAACTCAGTTTTTGTTTATTCCGCTATTTTAATTGATGTTTTTGTAAAGCGCGTATAAGCTTTATTTAACATGTTTAAGCTATAATTTTAAAAAACGTGTTTAAGCTAAAATTGACTTTCAAGTTTTTTAAATACTAAACTTTGGAGTAAAATAAAAATTTTTGTTAATTAATGAATTTCGTGAAAATGTTAAACAATTAAATTAAAACATTTTCAACTAAATAAGAATATAAACAAATATTTTTTTATATAAAGTAGATAAATATATAAAGTAGATAAATTTTATAAATATATATTAGATGTTAAAGAGATCAGAGTAAAAGAGTTATCCTCATGTAAGATATCCTTTTTATGAAAATTATATATATATATATAAAAATATATTTCACCATCTGCAATTTTTGTTAATTATAACTTTTTGTTATGTTTAGTGGAAGTAATGGACAAACTAAGTCAGTATGTTTTTTGTTGTATTTGCTTTTTTTTGTGTGAAAACATATTTATACATTTTTTAGTTTTTCTAAAGTAACATATATTCTATTTTCGGCAAGTTAATTTCTATTTTAATGTTTATAAGCTTTTTTATTTTGTTTAGAAACTTTGGAAGATTTAATTGTTCAACTAAGTTTAAATATATTATTTTTTTAGTTTTGAGGTTTTTAGTTATTCTGTACTATACAAGTTAGCTTCTTTGTTATTGTTAATAAATTTCTTTTTTCAATTCATATATATGAGTTTTTTCTCTTATTGTTTTATGCAAAAAAACAGATCAGTTTAATTTATTTGACACACCTAGCTCCCCATGGCCTATTTTATTGTTCCTCAATTGCTTTGCAAATAAATATTATTTTAATGAGAAGGTAAAAGTTTTACTACAGACTCTTATTCGATAAATGTTTTGCAATTGACTATTTTAAACTATTTATTTCAAGTGCCTAACTTATTACATTAGGTAAATCTGGGCATCTAACACCGTGAAGAGGCGATTTTCTCACTAAATTTTTTTTAGTAGTTGACTTCAGAATTTTTCATTCCAAATAAATATACAGGGTAATATATATATAAGTATACATATATATAAGTATTAAAGTATAAAAAAGGGCAATGTGGGATAAATTTACAAAGACCCGTATTTTATGGGTCATGACAGCTAGTATATTAAAACATCTTAGAACATAAATTTATTGCTTTTCAAGTTCAACATATAAGCAGTTAAAGACATGTCACCAGGTTGTTAGCCAGCCTGATGGCACCACCCTGGTGACACATTGTAATGTGGTATTCCCAATTGGTTTAAATTTCCCAAAGGTTCATATGATTATGGTTCATATGATCATTAAAAAAAAAAAAAAAATTAAATCAGCCTCAGATATAAAGTGTTGCGCAAGACAAGTAAAAAAGGCAATTAATACGCACAACGAGGAAATGAATTAAGTCGATTGGTCTTTTTAATGTGTAAAAACTTGTCATTAAAAAGATCATTCATTCAAAAGTTAAAAAAAAACTTTTTATTTTTCAATTGACAACAAATATTCTCTAGTTAAAATTTTTCAATATGTTTAATAAATTATTTTTTTTAACTTATTTTTATTATTCAAAACTCTTTATTTACATTTTTACAGTTAGGAAAGTTACAGAGATCTTTTCATACTAATAAATAATATACTTGAAAATAAGTTTATAACGTTTTTATAATAAAAGAATTATTAATTTTTTCAGTAAAATAAATTAGTTAATAAAGTAAACCAAAAATAATAACAAAAAAATCAAAAATAAAACTTGTATTATTTATGTTATATTTGCGTAAAACATAAAAGAAGATAACTAATATTATATTTTAAATTTATCTAATGATAAAAATTATAATGATATAAAATATGATGAACAATAATACGAATACCTATGTAAAAAAGTTTAAACTTTTTTTTTAAGTATTTTAAAATTTTCAGTTTTAAAATACTAAATTATTTAAAAACTTAAATATTCAAAAACTTTCCATATAATTACGGTTACCAGATGTCTGGGTTTTATAGAGAATATAAACCTGTAAAAATAATTTTTTTTACAGTGTTTTTCCTTTGTAAAAGTTAGAATTCTGGCAATCCTTCATATAATGTATAGTGGTTTATCAACAGTTGTCAATTAAAAGTTGTTTTAGCTATTTAAAAAGTTACAAGAAGATCGTGGAAATTGTCAGAAATGTTTTTTTTTTAAAATTAAATACTATTTAATTTAAAAAAAAAAAAATTATTTTTTATTTTTTTTACATTTATAATTTAAAAATAAAAATAAAAGAAGACAATATATGTAACTTATTGATTAAACCTTTTGATTTAAAGTGATGTACGCAATTAAAATAGATCAAAGTTTCAATGAATAAATTTAATAATTGATTCATTAAAAATTTAACTGCAAACAATTGCTTTTGTTCTTGTTTTTTCTCTACTATATCAAACAGAGAAGCGGTTTAAAAAAAAACAACCTAAAACGATTGCTCAAAATGAAACAAGTTTAATAATTATAATTAAACATTTATAAAATAGAAATAGCTTTGAATATATTCCAGCAAAAATTATTTTGATTTATTTTAGAAAAATTTGTATCTAAAAAAATGTCAAATTTATCTACTTTTTGAAATGTCAGAATGCAATGAACTTTTTTTTTTAAGCTGCACCTAAAATCCCAATTTCGCAAAAACACTGTATGAATTTTTTTCCTAGCTAACACTCTGGTCACATTTAAAACTAAAGTAATAAGAGTGGATATGAATATTTCAAAAAGCTCTATAAAGCAAATTTTTTTGAAAAATCTGTGTCTCCATGCTAACTAAAAACACAATAACTAAAGCCTAATGACCCTGGATAGCAAAGAGAAATTGTTGAATGGATTATTAGCAAAACCATCATAACCCATGAAGCACATTTTCACTTTGATGGCTTCGTTATTTGACAAATTTTTCATGTTTGGAGTTCAACATAATTTTTAGAAAACAAATTTAACCATAACCTGCCCATAATCTTTGGCATCTAAATTCTGTTCATAAAATATTAAGACCATCATATGGCAATATCAAAGAGCAAGAGCCTGATGCGTTCACAATTTAGATTTGGAAGAATATGAAGAAATGGAAGCAAACAAAAGCTGTATTAATAAAAGCTGTAATAATTTGGTTCAAATCCACATATAGCAAAAAATATATAAATATACCATTGATTAGCCATTTTTAATTTTCCCCATAAAATGTAAACATGTTTTCTTTTTTTTAAATTAATATGGAAGACAGAAAAATGTTTAAAAACCTCCAAAAAAAAATTACTTTGATAGATTATTTTGTCTGACCGAACCAAAACCCTCAGTTAATGTCCCCTTCATTCTTTAAAGGTATTGAGTGATTGTACCATGCACTCTTTGCATGTTATAACCTACCTTTAAGCTGGTCAATGTATGTAAACTCTTTGCATGTTCTACCTATTTAAGTCAGTCAATGTGTGTACAGTTCATGCATGTTCTATCTATATAAGTGTTAATATAATGTGTATATATATATTATATATTTATATAAGTCTATATAAATGTTTGTACACTCTCTTCATGTTCTCCCTATTTAAGTCAGTCAATGTATGTACACATTATGAACCCAACCCTATTTAGTTAAAGTATGTACACTCTGCTGAGCTAATTCCTAAATAAATTGGTTAATAAAACAAAAATGAAAAATAAATAAGATAAACAAATAAAATAATAAAAACAAAATTTAAGTAATTAAGTTATGTTTTTGTGGTTTTTTAAAAATCAATAAAAGTTAATTAGTTTGCTCAATTATTTAAATGGTTTTTTTATAATATAAATGGTTAGTTGTATTATATCAAATTATAAGGGTGACCAACTTTAGTTTTAAAAAAATAAATCCAAACAAAATAGCTACTTGTAAAACCAATTTTAGGAAATAAATATTTTATAAAATCTATTATCTTATTTTACATTCTTTTGTAGAAAATAAAAAATCATAGATCATTCAGGTTGTATTTTTAAAGTCCTGAAAATTATTTGGATAAAATATCCGCAAAAATTCCGGAATATGTTTTTCCTTATTTTCCTTTTAATTTGTTTTTAGCTGAGTTGCTTTTATTTTTTCTTCATAATTTTCTATAAGTGATAACTGAAATGGCTTAAAAAACAAATATATTACAAAAATGTATACCTAAACTTGTATGTATAGCAAATGCTTTGGATATCCAGAAAAACTTTAAGTTGAAAAAAATATCTGGAATTTCGGAAATATCCGGAAAAAGATAATCCCTGTAAAATTCTTTATCTAATGAAAAAACTCCCATGAAAAAATTTGTTTCCTATCAAAAACAAAACTCTCTGAATGTTGACTGAAATTTGAAAAAAAAATTATAAATAATAAAACCTTTTTTGACTGCAAGAATTCCATTCCACTTGCAACCTGATAAGCTATCAACATTAAATCAATATATGTAAATTCATTTTCCATGCTTGTTTCTTTTTTGAACCAAATTGGTTGGAAGATTGCTTTTTTGGATCTTAAAAAATTCAACAAATCCCCCCCAGGACAACATTCCAAGATGACATGCAACTTTTCCCCTTTAGTTGTACATGCACCAAGCAAATTGACAATATTTTTATGCTCTCCTAAATGTATTAGAATCTTTAATTCAGAAGCCAAATCTTTGTACTCAGATTCTGATGCTCCATCTAAAATAAAATTTTATCATATAAAACTAATCGAAATAGAAAAACAAGTTAAATCTATAACAAATATATAATAATATAGTAAACAAACTAAGAAACATTCTAATTATGCTTGAAGAAAAAATTTACATATTAGTGAAATAAATTAAAATAATTACTACAATAAATTAAACAAAGAACAACAACAAAACTACAATTTCTTCTTGCATCAAAAAATGCACTGAATATTTAAAGCAAACCTTTTAATGTTTTTACAGCAACCATTGTTTTTTCTAATACTATATTTGATATTTCGTGCTGTTTTTGATACCGAATTGATAATGAATGGTAACGCTTTGTTTGTTTTCGCAGTTGTTTTCTTAGTTTTACTGCATTTGGACTATGATCACGAGGTCTAAAACCTGAAAATAAAAAAACGGATAACCATAAATTGGCAATTGAACAAAACAAAACCAAAAAACAAGACAAAAACACTTACTGTTAATTCCTTCGGCTTCAGCTAGCCATACTTGACCAAATGCACCTGATCCTAATGCCTTTATAAACGTGAGTTTTTCTCTAGGGAACTCCCATGCTAAATCATAAGGTAACTCGCTACTTTGTTCAAATATGGTTCTATCAGGATCAATCTAATTAAAAATTTAAAAAACAAAAACTTTTATTTCTTTTTAAATTAAATTCTTTTACTTTTTATGTCAGTGCCATTTTAAGCATTAGGAAATTCAATTTTTGTTTTTCCATCTTTGATTTTGAAGCTAGTAACCTTACCTATAAGTTTTCCAAGAGAACCAGAAAACTTATTTTTCGATGCAGTTTTTCTGTCAAGATAAATCATAAGATGTCGGAAAGGTAATTCATTTGTACAAGGAGCAAAAATTATCCACATTAGATTTTTATTCAATTTATGTTCAAGTTAGTGGATAACTCTTCCTTTCCAATCAGTGTTTAAATTTGTTGAATCCACACCAATGGCAACTTAAGAGTCTCCATTTAACATTAAGATTATGATTTTTTGCTTTTTTAAAAAAATAAGTAATTTTTTTTAAAAAACAAAAAATTAAACTTTTTATTAAAAAACAAACTTAAAATTTAAATTTGTTTAGTATATTAAATATTTAAATTTGTTAAGTTATGAGTTTATTTTGTAAAGTGATGATAATAACATAAACTTTTAATAATTAATCTAAAATTGGAAAATTTTAATATTTAATCTGAAAATTGAAAATTTTGGTATATACTGTACCAAAATATGCTAACTTTAATTTTTGAAATGCCAACTTTAATTTAGACAGTATTTTGAACAAAGTTGGAAAAGAGAAAAATGAAAAAAAAAATTTTGGTAACAAACCCAAACAATTGATGTATCTAACCCAGCCAGCACAAACGCATCTAAATTCAGATAACTATAAAACATCTAATACTTTAAGGCCACATCTTTGAGGCAACAAATATGAGTTCATGTTCATTGTCTCAAAGATGACTTGTATTAGATGTCTTATAGTTATTTGAATTTAGACGTCTAAAAGGTATTAACATTTTAGATTCTAAAAAGACATGGTTGTGCTGGCTGGGAAGTGTTTCTGAGAGCATGACATAACATAAGTAGTGAAAACATATCTATGTGTTTCTCCAGAGTATGACATGACATGTGTCATGTCATACCCTGGAGGCAATGGCTATTTAACTTTTGAACACATCAACTTTCTCATTATTTTAAATAATGAGAAAGTTGATTATTAAATATTTTAAATTTTAAAATTTACTCATACTCAGATACTCACAACAAATTCTTTGTCAGGAGCAAGATAACGTGCATATTTATTCTTCAGGTGTCTTCTATACAAGAAAACAGCAATAAGAGCGATAATCAAGATAATTACTGCAGGGACAACAACAGCTAGCAGCGCTTCTTTCTTTAGAGCACCAATATAAGCTGAAAATTTCAACAATATTAAAATTGGATTTAGAAAACATTAAAAAATAAAAATAAAACAATTATTCTATAGCACACTATTTCTTTTTGATGATGGTGGACACCTAGTTTTAATGATTTATTAAAATTCAATGATGCTGGATGAAAGTTATTTAAAATATTTTCTTTTAACAACTGGAAATAAATCATACTTTGTATCAGTTGGATTATCAGTTTGGATTCAATAAAAATGATTGCTCTAAAACTATAGTAAAAATGTTTTACAATTGTAGACGAGAAGTACACTGATGATGTGATGGATGAGAAGTGCATCGATGATGTGATGGATGAGATGTGCACTGATGATGTGATGGATGAGATGTGCACTGATGATGTGATGGATGAGATGTGCACTGATGATGTGATGGATGAGATGTGCACTGATGATGTGATGGATGAGATGTGCACTGATGATGTGATGAATAAGATGGGCATCAATCATGTGATATGCTAGATAGCATCAAAAAGCAAGCATGAGGTAGACAAAAACTAGTTGAATTAGAGGTTTTTTCAAAAAAGAATTTTGACTAGATTCCTTTTCTTTTTTTTTAAGAACTTTAGAAAGATTCTAAATTTGTTTATCAATATCTCTTTTGATAATAAGGTTTTTGTAAATAATAATATAGAAACAATATTTTTAAGAAACTGCTAAAAAATAACAGTTAAAACCTAATATTCATAGAAATAAAAAAATATTTTTATTTAAAAATAGAAAAACAAAAATCAAAAGTCAAAAAAGAAATGTATTGCTTCAAATTTGACACAAACACCAACAATAACCTTTCTTTATTGAATAGAAACAGAATACTTTAGTATAAAATCTATGATAATAAAAATGATAATCAATGAAATGAAATAAAATAAAAATGAAATGAAATAAAAATGAAAATCAATGATAATAAAAATGATAACAAAAGATAATAATATTATCTATATCAACTAGTATGTTATTTCTTGACAAAAATTTAAAAAAGGTGGTTTTAATTTTCTATAAAGAACATTTAATTAGATAAAATGATTAAGGTAATAAATATAGTAAGTGTTTTAATAAACGCATAAATATTAAACAAATCCATAATAATTCCAATGTCTTATCAAAAAAATGGTAAATAATCTGCAAATGATAGCCTTAAAATAAAACAATTATTATATAAATTAATTACAATGATTTGATTTTAAAAAAAACCAAAATAGTTGGTGTTTAACTTGCAAATTAGTGATCATTATTAATAATAAACTAATGCAATACTATATACAATATATTAATGTTTGGTTTTCTAGGATTCCTTAGAAGGTATAGAATTTGCTAATAAAAATATGTAAAATATAAAATAATACAGTTAAATAGTAATGTTACATAATAACTATAATATAATAATACAATTAAATAGTACTCTAGTTATAATTAGTCCAATTAATGCTTATCGTTGCCATTAGCTACTGAGTTACTGAAAAAATTTCTAAAAACTTTTCTTTTTCTAAATGCAACACGCTATTATTTAATAAAAGTTAAACGTTAATGAACATTTAAAGTCATATTTCTGTTTTATAGATCTTTTTCTAAATTACGAGCGTTGTTTGAGAAAGAACATTATTTGAAAAAGACCAATAGGTCTTTCAACAAGTTTTGTGGGTTGTGTTTTCTTTTGTAAAATATTTATATTTTTTGTTTTAGATTTTGACATTTTGGTTTATATTTATTTAATTTTTTTTAGCTATGTTGTTTATATATGCTTTTTTTTTTAAACTTTTCTTTAAATTATTTTACAGTAACCAAGTAAGCACTCCTTATTGTTTGATCTTTTTAATTTATTTTTTTTAGTTTTTCTGTTTGCTTCATTAGATTTCTGTTTGCTATATATGTCTGTCTTTAAATAAATTTTAATTTTTTTATTATTAAAGATGCAAACAATTATTATTGATAGTAAAGGTAATAGTGAAATATATAAATAATGACGAAGGTTTGTATCTCTATCTTTAATTTGCTTCTATTTCTTCTTACATCTTTGCAGTTTCATCTTTATCTATCTTCAATTTGTTTTTAAGTATCTGAATTGTTTTGAAGTAAGTTGCATATCAATACAAGCCAAGTAAGTTTCAAAATTGCATTTTAGTTGACTTTTGTCATAGAATTTGCAATTTGAATAAATTAATAAATTCAATACAATGTATTTTAACTCAAGTTTTTAGGTTAGTTAAGTTGTATTTTATATATGCAAACTAACAAAGTAAAAAATGCAAACTGCATATTCATAGTAATTAAAAACTTCTTCAGTTTTAAAAATATATTTGTACAAAAAATGTTTTCATAAATTTATTTAATAATAATTTTCTTTCTAAAAAGCTGAATTAAAAATATGAAACTAAAAATTTTTCAAGAGTTTACAAAAAAAAAAATTGTTTATATATTTACACTTCTTTTTTAGTCGCACTTTTTTATTTGAAAAATGACCGTAAGCATTATTTTAAATGAGACAATAAAAAGAAAATAAGTGGTGTAAAAAAACTTTATTTACAAGTTATATACATGAATTTATTGAAAGAAATTCAGTCACAAGCAAAAAATTTTATTGAATTTGTTTTAAATGAATTCATATTTAATTTTAACAAATTCGATAAGCTCATAACAACTTCTTAGGTTTAAATAAATGTCAGGAATAATTTACAAACAAAAGATGAAATATTCTTTAAAAACAGATTTTTAATATCAATAAAAAACATTTTCTTTTTGCTTTTCGTGTTTGTTGCATAATTGCAATAATATTATGTAAAACATTTTTTAATTTTAATTTTTTAAGCTTTTTTAAGATACGACTCAATCTTTTAAGTTTAATACAAACTTTTATATTAAAATATAAAATTTTTCATATTTTAATCAAATTTAAGCACTCCTGTGTGCTGAATGCGAAATGAGGGAGGGGTGTTGGTGGGAATTTTATTTCAGATTTAATAAACTGGAGTGAAGAAAGAAGAGCGGTATCTTAATAAAAGGGCAGATTAGAATTAATTTCCTTAATTTAATTTAATAATAACTAACAATTTTGAAATTTAAAAAAATAACCTATATTAAAAATCTCAAAATCCAAGATACAGGGTTGGTCGGGAAGCGGGAGCAATCGCTCTTGAATACTGACCACGGAAATTATATTTAGTTACGTAAAACTGGCCAGGTTTTTTAGTCATTTTGAGAACATTTAAGTTTATGTACGAAACAAAAAATTTTTGTTTTATGGACATACATGGAAACATAAAAAACTTGAATGTTCTCAAAACATCTCTGTGCGAAAGAATAAAAAAAATATTTGTGAACACTAAAAACCCGCCAAATTAACGAACAAACTAATTCTATTGGTTCAAAAAATACGCTGATTAAGCAAAATAAAGTTCTAGAGTATTCTGTTAAAATGTTTTAGAAATTGTATTATTCACTATTTGTTACATTTTGAAATTTCTAGCATTGTTTAAGAATATATATTATTTGTTTACGAAAATAAATGTTTTAAATATATATTAATTAAATTGTTAAAATTTTAAAAGTTTATTATAAATCATAGATTTTATTAGTATATTCTTATTTTTTATTTTAAAAGAGATTGTATTCTTTATGTAAATGTAATTTTGTGTATTTGTTTTTTATCGTAATGTATCTTTTAAAGCAATTTTCATGATTTAAACAAAGACTTAATAATTGCGTTTTCAATGAAGTTATAATCGTTAAAGTTAATAAAACTAATTATGTAACAAACATATAAGAAGTTGCTGGTTACTAAACACAAACAACGCATACAAAGTAACTCGCGGATGAACAAGCATCGCGCCTGAGGTCACGACAGAACACAAATATATATAGCAAATAATTAGATATAAAGAAAAGTTTCTAGATATTGGTTTACTAACTCTAATTATTTTTGCTTAAGTTGTCATTCTTAAAACTCGTTATACTTTTTTCTGCTTTAAATACTAATTAAAATTAAAAAGCCCACTCACTAAACATCATCAGCGATATTGTGAAGCAGTTTCGCTTCCTGGTCATTCATTTTTAACCTTTTTAGTTGATTTCTATCTTGATAATTTAATTCCTATAGTAATTCAATGATTTAATTATTTCATTTGTTTATCTTACTAAGAAGAATCGCTTCAAATATGTTAAACTTTTCAAACTACGCGAAATATAAAATAGGTATTAAAAAAATTAACTTTTTTATTTATAAAATAATTTAGCTTAAGTAAAACTAAAACTTGCAAACTTAGTTAAATAAAGAATATTTGTTTCCCTTTTAAACAATTGTAAGTTGTTACTTTATATAAAAAACATCGCTTAATTTTATAAAAAAAATTGTAAAAGAGAGATATTTGTTCTAAATGTAATTTATTTAGCTTTAAGTTTTTTCGCGTTTAAAGATATTTTATTTGCCTATTTTTATTTTTTTGTAATTGTCTTTCATTGGTCCAACGAATCTTTGTCGCTTTTTTTTTTTGCCTTTTTAAAATGTTCTCAAAACGGCAAAAAAATTTGGCCAGCTTTTCGCAACTAAATATTATTTACGTGGTCAGCAATCGAGTGCGATCACTCCCGCTTCCTGACCAAGCCTGAAGATAATATTTTTTTTAACACACATAAAACAATTTAATTCTAGCGTGGCTTGCATTTAAATGTGAAGTCATTAACAATTATTTCATCATAACTTAATAGAATTTAGTATGCTTATATAAGTTTAATTCTATGGCTAGGAATAAACCAAATGCTCATTTTCAACAAATCGATTTGGATTATTATATAATAACTGTAATATAATAAAAGTATTAAATAAATAGTAATGTTATACAATAACTTTAATATAATAATAATTAAAATAAAATTAACTTCTAAATAATAAAGAATAAATAAAACAATATACAATAATAGCAACTACCAGTTGCTAAAATAAAAATCATACCAGAGTTTTTTATTGTAACTGTGACAAATTTCTCTAATCTTCCCTTTACATTTACAGCTGAACATTTATACATGCCAGAATCTTTATTACTAACTTTAGAGATGATGTATTGATTTTTGCCAATTTTAGAGCTTAAAATTTGTGTTTTATTAGTGGCAATAAACTTTAACCATGTCACATTACTAGGTGGATAACCTCGTGGAGAACAATCCAGCTCTGAGGAAGTGCCAGATATCATTTCTACATCAGATTTCCATTCAACATGAAAGTATGGTTTAGCTAAAGAAAAACAAAACTTTTAAAAATTGAAAATTTTTAGTTTTACTTTTAGTAATTTCTCCACAATATTAAAATTACCAATATCCTCCATCTTTCTAGTATACTCTACAACATTGAATTTGCTCCCATATTAAACTTTTTAATGTTTTCCATTATATACTTTCTAATGCTCTCAAATACATTTTTAATATTTTGGAGAATATTAAAATCTTCAAAACTTACAAAAGTCTGCATAAAGAAATGTTCCTAAGGGTTTTTTTTATTTATATAAACTCTCACTGAGTCTACTTCTTGGATTATCATTTACTAATGACCTTTCATGGAAACCATATAGACAATAGATTGCTAAATTAGCATTTGCTAAGGTTTATTGTGCTCTCTCCTGATTTCATTCTCTACCTCTACAAATCTCTTATTCGTCCCTGAATGGAATACTGTTGTCATAAATTCTTTCTCTTCTAGACAAGGTCCAAAAACATAGTAAGACCCTCTCTATCTGCCAAGCTTGAGCATCTCTCCCATCATCGCAAAGTTGATATTTTTGACACTCTTTTTTCTATAAATAGTACCATGGTAGCTGCAAAAAAGAACTAGTTTTTATCTCTAGTTCCATCAACCAAAACACATTCTTGCTTGACTCTAAATTTAAGTCTCATTCTTTTACTTTAACTATCCCTTAACCTTTACCCTGCATGCTTTAAAAACTTTTATTTGACTGTTTTTTTCCCTCGCATTTGAACCCTTTGGAACTCCCTCCCATCTTCATTTTTTCCTGATTCATTCCTGAACCATCAATTTTTAAAGTCTTCTGTCTATCGTTTCCTTGCTCTATAACTCTATTTTTTTTTCTAGTAACTCTCAACTTAATAGTGATTGCTTGCAGCCTTGTTGGGAGTGAATCAGAAATAAAAAAAAAAAAAAAACTAGTTAAAATATTTAATCAGAAAATTTGAAAGCACTCATAAAGTATAAATGGTACTTTTAAGATGAGGGATTTTTTAATAGTGTATACTTATAAACCTTTTATCTCGTGTGAGATGCATTTAAAAGTTATTTTCAAATAAAATCATCCTTAAAAAATTATACAACAAATTTACAAAAAAAAAAATAAACAAAAAGGTTCTGCATTCATATTTTCAGATAAAAACTTAAATTATAAATTTAAATACAAAATCGTTTGTAAGAAAATTTTGAACACATAAACTTAATGAAAGTAACCAAAAATATAAAAATTTTTTTTGGTAACAAATAACCAACACATTTTTATTTTTAAAAATAAAATTAACAAACAAAATTATTAGAAAAAGGAAGGAAACTTTACCTTGTATAGTCAACCTCATAGCTTTGTTTACTGAACCAACTTTGTTTGAAGCAATACATTGAAAAATACCCTGGTGCTTTTCATAGTTAGTTTTGCACAACAATAAAGCACTTGCTATCTGTGAATGTTTGTAAAACCCGGGAGTAGAGTAATAGCAGCTATCAATGGAAGGAAGAATAGGAAGCTCATTTAGGAGTTTGCTGTTGTGAGTCCATTCAATTAGAGGCAGTGGGTTTCCTGAAGAATTGCACATCAGCATTATATTTCTATCTATGTCTTGTGAAATAGTCCAGTCGTTTAAGATTCCAATAGAAGGCATTAACAGTTCTAAATAAAAATATTAAAATTTCTATTAATAAAACTTTTAACCAAATTCAAAATAAAAACATTGAAAAAATTAAAAACAAACAAATAAAAATCTAACTTTTAACATGAACAACTTGCTTCTCTATCTTCTGTCCTCCTCTTTTTAACTTTGCAATACATTGATATGTTCCAGAATCTGATAAATTTGCTGATAAAATATCATATTCTAGAACAGTAGCTCTAGAGTTATTACTTAACTTAGTAGAAAGAACTTTCTTATCTTTGGTCATCGTCAATGAAATGTAGACATATAAAACTGCTTCACATGTAAAGTTCAACCTATCTCCTACATTCACTGGATTAGTGACATCAAAAGAAAACTCTGGCTTAACATTTTCTAAAGTGCATAACAAATAAACTAGATTTTTTTGCATAAACACTCATAATAAATACTTAAAATCATTTTATATTATATATTATTTCATATTATTTTCTAAAAATTGACAAATATTCAAGAGTTATAACGTTTATTATTTTTTCTTATATTTTATGCAAAATAAAAATAATTATTAAAAACAACAAGTTTTTAATAATTTGTTAGACTTTCTTTAGTTTCCGAAAAATTATAAGAGAATCAAAAAACTTTTAGTACACGCTAAATTAGATTTTTTAACTTTTTGATTTTAAAAATATGCCACCCATATCGAAATTACATCATGTGAGAATATTTTAATAAATAACTAAAAAAATATCAACATATTTAACATTTTTTTACCAAAAAATTCATACTTTGCGCAGGCTTTATTTTGTCTATATGAATTACATGAGATTAAAGGCAGGCACAGGTAACAGCCCACCATTCCTACCGAAGCCTATATATATACAACTCTCAAAATTAAGGAAACTGTTAGAGGTTGGCAAAAAAAAAATTGAAACAAAGGTTTTACCATAAAACATAGAAACAATGTTGGCAAAATTTTGCAGACCATAAACACTTTGAGGTCGGCAGTTAGGTCAGCATTACTGAATATGCCGATCCTAATTTGAAAGGCTTTATATATATATATATATATATATATATATATATATATATATATATATATATATATATATATATATATATATATATATATATATATATATATATATATATATATATATATATATATCAGGCCTTGTTAAGAAGCGTTACGCAGCTCGCATTTTGCCTGCGAAAAGGCGATTTGCCTACGCGTTCAGCAGTTATGCGTTCAGCAAAAACTTTTATCTTTTAGAATATTTAAATTATCTTTTTATATCGTTTATGTGACGTTCATTCAGAAGTATTAAAGTCGTAAGTAAAAGCATTTAACCGCAATTGTAAACTAATAGATTTTTTGTTAAAGAAACAATTTGTTTAATAATTTTTTTTTTTGTTTTTAAAAATTACTTAAAGAAAATAAAGTGTTTTAAGTTTAAACTTTTCATCATATTTAATTTTAAATATTAGATTTCATAAGTTTATAAACAATCAAATTTAAAAAAAGAAATATTTTCAATTTATTTTAAAATTTAAATATTTTTTTAATAATTATAGTTTTTAGTAAATAAATTTATTAAATTTAATTAAAATTCTTACATTAATTAAATGAAAGAATTTTAATTAAAATTTTAATTAAAACTTGAATTAAATTTATCAAAATTTTTTTTACTTTAGTAATTTTTTTTATAAAATTACAAAAGTAAAAAAAGATTTGATAAATTTAATTCAAGTTACTTTAAAATGTTCGTATTACATATAACTTTATTTTAATTTTAGTTAAGTTTCAGGTAAGTTCCAAATACTGGTCTGAAAGATGCGCTTACAAAAGCGCATTATTTTCCAGTTTTTATTTTTCCATTATTTTACAGTTTCATTCATTATTTACAGAAGCGCATTATTCATTTTATAACTACAAGTTAATAAATGACGTCAATACTTTTAAACTCGAGTTATAAATGTTATGTTTGGGTTTTCCCTTTGCCGTTTGCCAAAGAATTTTTTTTTATAAATCAAACCAAGGACGTATTAACAATACGTCCTTGAACAAACTAAAATACAAACCTATTAAAAATACCGTGATCAGTAAATAAACTCTTTAAAAGCCCAACTTATCTTTATTTTATTTTAAAAACAAAACTAGTACTTGAGCTATAAATATAAGATACATAAATTTCAAAATTATAATGATATTTGTTAAAAACAAATTCTGCTTATAACATCTGAAAACCGAAAACACAATTTTTTTTTGGATTGAGAAAAAAAAAAATTAGGTTTCACTGTACATAAAAATAAAATAGTTTAATGGAAATAAAAAAAAACAAAGCCGAAAAAGCAGTAAATTTCGTTTCTTTACAACATTTATTTTATCAAAACAAACGTTTTTTTTAAAAGGGAAAACCCAATCTATGCGTTTAGTTATAAGTACATTTAAATCCCTTTAAGAAAATCAACCATAAACAAGTGTTAAATTTAAATTATTTAAAAAAAAAAATAAAAAAAAAAACAACCTTAAAACGAATGTTTAAAAGCAAAAAAATTAAGTTTAAATAAGTATAAGATTTTAATACAAGAAGACTTTTTTTTAACCAACATTGAATTTTTTTTTTTTTATAACAACATTGTACAATTTAAAGCTATTTCGTTTTAAAGACTAACAATAGTTTTTAATGTCATTTTAAATTTAATTACAATGAAGTAAAAACGCAACTGACGTAAATTAACTTTTAACAATGTAAATATCTTTATTGAGTAAAGTTACTTTTATTCACGTTCAGCTTTTCCGTTACGCAGCGAAATCTCGTAACAAGGCCTGATATATATATATATATATATATATATATATTATTTGAAATAATATATATGTATATATTATTTCAAATAAAATCTTTTATAAAACAGTTAAAAAAATTTGTTTAGAAGAATAAATCAATCAAAAAAACTATTCAAAATAATAATTATATATATTTTAAAAAAAATAATTAGAATTGTTAAGTAAAACCATACCACTCCTCATCAATGCAATCTGGTAAGTATCTTCAGAACGACCATTTGTAGCTATACATTTATATATCATGTTTGTTGTTGACTTTTTGCTAATTATGTAACTAAAATTTGTAGGTGTCTCACTATTTGGCGTTTGCTAAAAGTAAAAAGTGCTAAGCTTAGTAAATGCTCTGTAACACAAAGGTCAATAAGTCTAGGCCTAACCACTAGTGCCTTAATAAAATATTTGTACAATATTTTAATCAGACAACCTTCAAAAAAGTATGTAAAAATTTAATGGCAATCTGACCTTTGGTTTAAAAGTTGGCTCAAGTGACTTTTGTTGTTTTAGAAACATATAAAGTTTTGTTTTAAAACAACTTTGTGTTTTGTTATTTAAAAGAAATAGTTTTTTTATAGAAAAAAATTTACACCTTTATTAAACTTAAAAAAAAATTTACAACCTTTATTAAACTTAAGTTTTACGCTGAGTAATGACTTCTAGTCATTACTCAGCTTAACATTAAAGTCTTATCCAGACTCTACTCCATCAATAACTACAAATGAATGTTGGTTTGCTGATTTCAAACAATCAGCTCTTGTCATCCAAATAAGTCTGTCAATCCTGAAAACATCCTTAGAAAAAATCCTAAAAATCAATATGATCAATTGCATAGGAAAGTTGCAAGAGATTGCTGACACCTTAAAGTTATCAATGTCTTTACTATTATACATTTACTTGAAAATTTGAGTATAATTTGTATTGACCTTAAACATGGATAATCAACACCAAATATTATATTAAAGCATTTGAAGAATGAAATTACTGTGTTATAAACAGCTAGCAATGGAAAAAATACCTGAATCAAGCCTTAATATGTTAACATATCCAATAATATACTGTTTACATATGCCAATAATAAGCTGTTTTATTATTGGCATATGTAACAAAGACAACATTGAAAAGTTAAAAACCATTGAAATCATTGACACCAAAGGAAACTATATTGGTGAATAAAAGATGTTTAATAAAGGAAGTTTTTAACAAAAGAATGTTGCTTTACTATTTAGGCCCAAGACATTGTGTTAGTTAAGATTTGAAATAACTGTAAATTAAGGAGACTGATTTAAATAGCTGTAAATTAAGGAGACTGGTTTTTAGTTGTTGAACTAGCAGATCCCAATAAAAACTACACTTAAAATATTTACTCAATTTTATAACTTTTTTTATTAATTAAAAGATGTTTAAGCTGAAAACAAAAACAGAAAAGGTTTAAGCATTAAATATTCAAATGAAATTCATCATAAAAATATTTATTTTTAAGTCTTGGATTTTAATCTGATCTGTTTTTATTAAGAAATTTATAGTTTGCTTTTAAGATATACAAAATATATGTTTTCATAAATTGGTATCTGTTTTTTCATTGTTGTAAACATATTTTTAAAGATAAAAAATACTATAGATAAGGTTTTACAACCAGAAACTCAATTAATACCTCAACTAAGTTCAAAAAAGTCATAAAATCAGTAAAGAATAGCAAAAGATAACAAGCTTTAGAAAAATAATAAAATACAACAGAATTAGGTCAAACAACAAGTTTTTTAAAGTACTTCAAAGTAATAAGTGATTTTAAATTTGACTGGGAAAAAATACCCAAGGCCTGGTTTGTGACTGGGGCATAAAAATTGATACAGTTTAGAGTTTGTTTTTTTTTTTCAAAATTTATGTTATACTTTATATACAACATGCTATATTTTACATACATCACACATCCATCTGATAATCATCTTTTCTTTTGGCAAATAATACACTAATTAAATACTAAAGTTTAAAGAAATATGCAAAGATATTGTATGCCAGCATCGAAATAAATAGCAAACATATGTTTATACCAATATATATCCAAATTATGTATGCATAAATGCGCCTTTACCTAACTTCCTAACAAATGAAGCTTTATTTCTTCTTGAAATAAAGAACTAAACTGAATTCTTTTGTTTCATCTTTTTTACAAAAATATATCTCTTAAGAACCGATGTTTTTTTATTATTGTAAAAACTCTTTTTTTTATTGCAAGAATATAAAAAAGGTCCTGTCTGATGCTAAGCTCCATTATTCTCAGTTTAATAAATCTTGTATCTTATCACAGATGCAGGTTCTAAAACTTTTATAAAATCTTTAACAGAGTCATAACTAAAGTCTAACATTCCATCTCTAATCTAAGAACCTAATATTATTACCTCTACCAAGTATAAAGCAGTTTTATTTGCATAGAACCTTTACTCCATTAAGACTCTTGAATCTTATGGCCATACTCTTCCAGTGATTTCAGTTAACTCATTGTTAAACATCCAAATCACTTTGGTTTTCAATACTAGTCAAATTAAATCTTCTATGTTTCAATTTTAATCTTCTATGGCTTATAGTTCAGATATAATTTCCATCATAGTTTTGCAAAAGTGTTTTTCAGAACTTACTTTATTCCTTGCTAAACTATTATTAAATGCTAAATAGTTGGTCCCAATATTTAAAAACTCTAGTAAACACTCTGAACTTTCCAATTATCCTACGATTAGTCTTCTCTCTAGTACTAGTTTCTTCATATAAAAGTTTTAAGATAAATAAATCATTTCTTTCTAACCACAGTATTAAATTCATTCCTTAAGGCTTACACTCTTCTTCATTTCCAGTAACTTTAGGAGTAACTCAAGGTTCCATCTTTCCTCCTGTATTGTTTCTTAACTACAATAACAATTCTCCTGACAATTTTATCTAAAGCCATTTTAGATAAAATTTTATTTTATCAAATGGCTCTAGCTGCTGACAACTCAACTTATACACTTGTTTTCAAAAACCAAATCGTATCAAAAATCAAAAAGTACTCACTTTTTAACTGCTTAGAACAAGCAGACTGTCTTTCATCTGATCTCTCTTCTATAACAGCTTGAGGCATGCAATGGCTTGTGAATTTTAACTTCAACAAAACTCAGTTATTTACTGTAAATGTAAATATGTCTGCTTTATCAGGCTTGGTCAGGAAGCGGGAATGATCGCTCTCGAATACTCACCACGGAAATTATATTTAGTTGCGAAAAACTGGCCAGGTTTTTTAGTCATTTTGAGAACATTTAAGTTTATGTACGAAAAAAAAAATTTTTGTTTTACGGACATACATGGAAACATAATAAACTTGAATGCTTTTTGTGCAAAACATCTTTGTGCAAAAGAATAAAAAGAATATTTGCGAACACTAAAAACCCGCCAAATTAACGAAGAAACAAATTCTATTGGTTCAAAAAATACGCTGACTTAGAGAAATAAAGTTCTAGTGTATTCTGTTTAAAATGTTTTAGAAAATGTTTTAGAAACGATTTGTTACGTTTTGAGATTTCTAGCATAAATTGTTTTAATAAATATATTATTTGTTTACAAAAATAAATGTTTTAAATATATATTAAATTGTCAAAATTTTAAAAGTTTATTATAAATCATAGATTTTATTAGTATATTCTTATTTATTATTTAAAAAGTATGTATTCTTTATGTAAATGTAATTTCGTGTATCTGTTTTTTATCGTAAAAAAATATCTTTTAAAGCAATTTTTATGATTTAAACAAAGACTTACAAAAATAATTGTGTTTTTAATGAAGTTATAATCATGAAAGTTAATAAAACTAGTTATGTAACAAACATATAAGAAGTTTCTGGTTACTAAACACAAACAACGCATACAAAGTAACTTGCGGATGAACATGCATCGCGTCTGAGGTCACGACAGAACACAAATATATATAGAAAATAATTAGATATAAAGAAAAGTTTCTAGATATTGGTTTACTAACTCTTATTATTTTTGCTTAAGTTGCCATCATTAAAACTCGTTATACTTTTTTCTGCTTTAAATACTAATTAAAATTAAAAAGCCCACTCACTAAACATTATCAGCGATATTATGAAGCAGTTTCGCTTCCTCATCATAAAGTATTTTTAACCTTAAGTTAATTTCTATATTGTTAATTTAATTTCTATAGTAATTCAATGATTTAATTACTTCATTTGTTTATCTTACTAAAAAGAATTGCTTTAAATATGTTAAACTTTTCAAACTACGCGAAACATAAAATAGGTATTAAAAAAATTAACTTTTTTATATATAAAATAATTGAGCTTAAATAAAACTAAAACTTGCAAACTTTGTTAAATAAAGAATATTTGTTTCCTTTTTAAACAATCGTAAGTTGTTACTTTATATAAAAAACATCGCTTAATTTTATAAAAAAAATTATAAAAGAGCGGTGCTTCGAAAATATTTGTTCTAAACGTAATTTATTTAGCTTTAAGTTTTTTTGCGTTTAAAGATATTTTATTTACCTAATTTTTTTTGTAATTGTCTCTCATCGTTCCACATAATCTTTAGCGCTTTTTTTTTTGCTTTTTAAAATGTTCTCAAAACGACTAAAAAATCTAATACATGGTCAGCAATCGAGACCGATCGCTCCCGCTTCCCGACCAAGCCTGCTTTATCTGCCAAGCTTGAGTCACTCTCTAATTGCTGCAAGGTATCATCTTTTTCTTTTTTCTACAAATATTATCATTGCTAAAACCAGCTATTATCTCTAGTTCAACCAACCAAAACTCAATCTCGCTTTGCTTGTCATTCAGCAAAGGTGGATTCTTTCACTAAATTTGTCCATCCATGCTATAAAATTTTTTATTTATCTAGTTTATTTACTCCCACATCAACAAAACCTCAAAACTCTCACTCGCCATTATATTTTCCTTATCATACAACCTACAAATTTTAGGTCTATCCTTACTGTTTAAACATATCCTTTGTTTTCTAATAACTCACAGTGGCTGTTTGTAACCCTGTCAAAAATGAATTAGTTTATATATATATATATATATATATATATATATATATATATATATATATATATATATATATATATATATATATATATATATATATATATATATATATATATATATATATATATATACATATACATATATATATACATATATATATATATATATATATATATATATATATATATATATATATATATATATATATATATATGCAAGTATTTAATAAATAGTAAATGTATGCAAAAATTTATAATAAAGTATAAATTTTTTCCAAATCCCG